GCTCCAAATTTTCTTCAACGGAGAGTCTCCAGACTGATTAGCGAGTGAAACCTCGCGAGATCAGGATGGGCTCACGAGGCTAGTAAAGTATAGCTTCTACTAAGTTTCTACTTCAGTAGAAAGAGTTTTCTTTGTTCATAACAAACCCGTTTTAGGAAAGCTCAACTTCACTCATCTACTTTATGATTGTAGGACAAAAGAGATTTTTCTTGCCTGATCGACTCAAATCACAGCCTCCTCTATAATTTTAAATGTCCCAATGATCTTGCAACACAAGATAAAATACAAATCCACCCCAAAATTGCAAAGGAATTAATGTACTCCAGTGAAGAAAAATTCTCTACTCCAAAGATGGAGTTCCCAATAAGCAGTGGGCTCTAACCCAATTCAGTCTGGTTTGTGCGTCGGTTTAAAGCTCCTCCAAGGCTTTGAAATGATATTTAGTTTTTAAGAGTGCAAAATGACACAGGTGGATTTATTTTCTCATTTAATTTCATGTTATGAACTTTACAACTGTTCATTAAGTTAGTGTGACAGTAGTGGCGGTGATAAAAGCCAAGTGTTTCCCAGGATGTATATTAAGAGCGGCGTCTCGGTTAGAAGTTATCTTCTTTAGTCGGATATTTTAACTATTTGCTTTCCAATGTTTCCACCTTTCATCATGGAGCAAAAGGCAACTGAAAGAGAAAGAACAATTATAAAAACTTCTCCCAATAAAAAGTACTTTTTACTCTTAATACTTGCATACCTCCCATGTTTTCTATACCGTTCACCTCTGTTTCCAACACCTGCAGAGAGGAAACGGAATACAACCACTACTAAGAGACAATCGAGGAGGAGATAAGAGCATATTTCAGGGTTAAACTGTGTTCTGTACCTTGATCTGAGCTGATTTTATCAAGTGGCTGAGCTCAAAGAGGGCAGCTTCTGCTTTACTCATGTAGCTAAGCACCATAAATCTCTCCCGAGTGATGCTCCGACTTTGCAGGATTTCTTTCGTCTTATCGCTCAGAGGGGGAGGATATGGCACATCCTTGTTATACTGGGAGATCTGCCCACACAGAATCACGTGCCCTCCTTTGTTCATCTGCAGGAGATGGAGGACGATGTGCTCGGTGAGGGTCGTAGGACACATCGGTTATAATGAAAAAAGAAAACTCATCCCTTACCTGTTCTATGACGATATCGCTGATGGCACCGCCGACGTTGTCAAAGTAAACATGGATTCCCTCGGGGCAGACATCTCTAAGCCGCGCTGAGACGTCCTCCTTGCGATAGTTGATGGCTGCAGAGAAGCCCAGGTCTTCAACCAAAGCTTTGCATTTCTCATCTGATCCGCATATCCCAACCACCCGCACACATCCATCCAGCCGACCAATCTGGGAAAAAAAAAAAACAGGATACATTCTACTTGCCTCGGATCTACAGATAATTGAGGCTGAACAGAGGCTGGAAGGAGAGCCGCACCTCCCAACACCTCTTCCTATTCCGCTGTGGGTTTTCTTTTTATTTGATAATGTCTCAGATATCCATTTTAGACAAAAAACAATCTAGATGTCAGTGTGTGTACCTGTCCAGCTAAGGAGCCACAGGCACCGGCTGCTCCGCTGACCACCATCGTCTGATTGGCTCCTTTGGTCACATGGCCTTTCTCCCTGACTCCCAACAGCGCAGTCAGTCCTGTTATACCTACTGCTCCCAAAAAGTGAGAAAGGTGCCCATCCACCATCTGTGGATCAACCTGCCATAGAAAGAAGTTAAGGTCAGCAGTGACTTGTAGAAATCAATCTTACAAATTAGTGATGCACGATATTGGGATTTTGGCCGATATCCGATATGCCGATATTTTAAAACTCATGTAACCGATAACCGATATCGATACCGATGTTAAAGCTGGACAAAAATAAGTAGTCATTGAAAATAGCAGTTTTATTATCCATTTCTGACACTTTGAAAATAATATACTCAAATATATTTTCATATGCTGATATCAAATTGATTTTTAAAAACGCGGTATCGATCTATTTTACTTTCAAAATCTCGTGAGATTTTTTCGTTCTGTTACAAACTCTCGTGATATTTTGCAAATTCTTGTGAGATTTTGTTAGTAAAATAGATCGATACCGCGTCAATATATTAACATATAAAAATATGGCAAAATATTTTTTTTTTTAGACTTTAGAAACTCAGAAGCTGATCAAATATCGGGTTAAATATCGGTGGGGTGGCCGATGTCCGATATTCAGTTTTAAGGCCGATTCCGATAGGGGGCCAATTATATCGTGCATCCCTATTACAAATAGATCAACTCAACATGGTGCATCATTTCAGAAGTGGAACGGAAAATCCTAGTTTTTAATACTTTTTTTAGAACTGAATGATATACAGTCCCTTATACCCCGGTCTCCCTTTATATACACATTGAAAAAACTGCTGGTACCCCTCATTTAATGAAATATCAAGACTAGAAAGGGGTTCTAGATAAAAATGTGCTTCCCATAATAATAAACTTAGCACGCAGCTTCAGCTACTGCAGCTAGAAACTAATGATTATGACTGAAATCTTGGTGTCATGATGGACTGAATCTTCAGAGGCAAATTAAGGCAGTTAGTTTAGTCAGCCTTTTTTTCCAGGATTAAAGGACTAAATTCCAATCTGGATCTATAAAAACTCATTCATGCATTTATCTCTAGTAGAACTGATTAATGCAACAGTGTCTTCACAGGTTTGTCTATAAATTCCATCAGACAGCTGCAGCTGATCCAACATGTTGCTGCCTGTGTTCTCACTAGAACTAAAAAAAGTAGAACACATCAGCCTGGTTCTGAAGTCCTTCCACTGGCTCCCTGGTGCTCAGAGAACAGACTGTAAAATCCTTCTATTAGTCTAGAAATCACTGAATAGATCAGCACCTCAGTACAAAACAGATCTGTTCTCAGTGTATCAACCACCCAGACCACCAGGTCTTCTAGTTCCAGTCTCCTCTGAAGACTGGAAAAGTGCTGAAAGCCTGAGTTTTTTTTAAGTCAAAGTTAAAAACCCATTTGTTTAGAGCCGCCTTTGACTGTTGAAGTTAAACTGTTAACTGAGGTATCATTAGTTTAAGGGTAGGGTCAAACAGTTTTATTTGTTTTTGCTACCTGCTTTTATTATCTTTTCATCTTTATTTGCTTTTATTCTGATTACATTTTTCATCTATTTTAAAAGCAATTTGAATCGTCTGTGTACTGAATTGTGCAAATAAACTTGCCTTGCCCATCATCATAAGCCTGGTCTAAGCCTAAGGTCTTAAACAGGAAAATGACCCAAAACAAGAAGTTAAAAACACCCAAGAATGGCTGAGAGGAAAATATTACACTATTCTGAAGGGACCTTCTGTGAAGCCTGACTTAAATCCAATCGAGAATCGTTGGAAGGAGCAGAAACATGTCATCTGGACTCTGTACCCTTCAACCCAGAGACAATTGGAGCAGTTTGTTCATGAGAAGTGGACCAAGATACCTGCTGAGAGGAGCAGAAGTACCACTGTCAGCAACAGGAATCATTTGATCGTAGCGATTACCTCAAAAAGTAGTGCAACAAAATATTAAGTTAAGGGTACTCTCATTTTGTTCTAGGTGTGGTTAATGGTTAATTTTCATAGATTTTTTATTTGTTACTTTTGTCAGATTCAAGCAGGTGCGCTGGAAGCTGTTTTAAGCGAGGGGGGCTTATGGCTGGGTTGGAAAACACGTGACGTCATTATGTTGAGGGCTGTGGCTGACATTTTTAACATAATATTGTAGGCTTACATCGGAACAAAGCATGAACATTTTAAACTTTATTTCTTCTCTTTTAATCATTCAAAACAAACAACAGCTCCCAATCAACAGGATCAGGAATACTTGAATGAAATATGGCCTAAATATCGCCTAAACTGAGCATTGAACGTCTTGAAAGTCCATTCGACTATGGATATGGGGAATAATTTCATATCTGAAACAAAAAAAACACACACAAAAAAAAATTAACTAATTTCATATTTTATTACTAAATAGCTTAATACAGACATAATATTTAGTGATATGCAGCCTTATTCTAGCGTAGACTTCTTCAGCCACAGGACTACGACGAATAGGCACAGCATATAGAAATAAATAAGAAATAAATAACGCTAAATAAATGCTCGGTGGCAGTATAGGGGAATTAAAACCATTTTTTACCTCGAAATAGTCAGAAATATGTTTCTGCTGCCTATTGCTAGCCATGCCTAAACGAATGTGGCGGAAGCTTCCTGGGGAGTAGCCTAGTTTTTTGTGAAATATTAAAATAATGAATCATTAGTTTATATCTTATACACAGCCCATCATTTTAATCCCATATCAAACACAGTCTTTTAAAAAATAAATACATAAATAATTTCATGTTTTTAAGTACAATATTATGTTACTCCACAGCCTCCCACCATGGGGGGCTGATGCTATGACGAGGGAGGCTGCAGCCCCCGCAGCACCCCCCTTCCCGTGCCACTGTATTCAAGTTATTTCTATGATTATTGTGTTTTTTCTTCCCTTTCATTAAATGAGGGGACCAACATTTTTGCCCACGTGTGTAAAACCCATGGCATCAGCTGCTTCTTTCAAGTATAGAATAAGAATGAGAGATAAACCCATCATTAAAAACACACTATACCCCTGGCTAAACATGGAGCAAGTATGCTTTACTGCAGCAATGATGGAGAAGCTGTTAAGAGTAGAACAGAATAGAAAGATGAATTAAGAAAAAACCCACAGGAAACCAGATAGAAGGTACCGTCACTGCCCGATCTGTCCTGGAAGCACGATCCGTACTGTCGGCTCATTTGCGCAACCAGATATACTGTACATCTGATTCGCCCTCGATTTTGATTTGTAAAAAAAGACCTAAATTACATTTTCCCTCCTTAAAAATAGTAAGCACATTAAACTATAATGGTTAAAGGTTAATTATGTATTTCCTAAAGAAATAAATGCATTAAAATCTCTCTGTTTTATTAATCGTCTGTTCCCGATCTGTACAGGAAATGGGATCCAAAGCTAATTCCGGGAGCTAACTTTTTCGGCTTTTGATTTAAACATAAATCTAGTCTTTTTGAGCTTAATGTTTTTCTTTCACATTAACCGTATGGTATATAGTGCATAATCTAAAGAAAGAAATAACAAAAAATAAGATAAACATGGTTTAATCATATTTTGCCAGACTACTCTGAGCATGATGACATCAGACAAGTTGTTTGTCGGAGAAAATGTAAAAGCATCAAAATTGTCTCAGAAAAGTCATAAAAAATGTTTTAAAGATTTGTATTAGCATTATTTAGTGATGCATTAGTATTCAATAGAAGGATAAAAATAGGTACTTTTGGTACCATGGTTACATGTTTTATGGCGACATGGATGAATATCTGTTTGAACATGAGCAAATGGTACGGATCGTGCTTCTGGTACCCATTGGGGAGTAACAGGTACATAAGACTGCAGCATTTTAGCGATTACTTTCCAGCTAAATGTCAATGGCCTAGTCAAAGTTCAGATCTAAATGCCTTTGAAAATCTGTGGTAAGGTTTGCAAACTGCAGTCTCTAGACCTGTCAATACTATAGAGACATTTCATTCACTTCAACATTTCCTTCTATAGTGTAAATGTATGAATATCATAGAAAATCCCAATAAAACGCATCAATGTTTGCTGCAGTATAACGGACCAATTATATCCACTCATCCCTGTGAATAATCTCCCATACCTTCTGTAGGCCATCTCCCTTCACGACGGCATGGGTCTGCCAAGGCCAGTTGAATGAAGTGATAACATCTCCCTCAGCGAGAGCGGAACAGCGGCTGGTTTCCACCACGCCGACACCCCCACCATCCACACATTCAGACAGCTGCCATGGAGTCAGGTAATCAGCACCGCTGTCTTCATTCATTCGGCAGCGCTGAAAGAAACAAATCTCATAGAGACTGATGGACACCAACAACCCTTTTCTGTGAGGCGTTCACTGACCTGACAGTAGCTACTGTGTATATACAGGATAAACATGTATGTGTGCTGTATACAAACTGTAACAAACAACTAAAAATGTCTGCTGGATTCATGTCTGCCTCTTTACCATGTAAGGGTCAACTGAGAGGTAAAGCGTCCGAACCAGGACTTCCCCATCTTTCAGGTCAGGTGTTAAACTTATTTGTTCCAGGCGGAAATTTCCTGGACTTGGCTCTCCATTTTTACCTGCAGGGGTAAATAGAAAGCTTGAGCTTAGATTTACAACATGATTACAACATGCAAAAATCCTACAAAACATGGATGATTCCAGACAGGAACCAGTGGCCCTGCAGAACTAAACAAGGCCCCTGAACTGAAGACATAATAGTTTAAAAAAAAAAAACATATTTTGATTATATGAATGGCATAGAAACTATCATTAATTGCTCTCTTGGATACATTTCTTTTTCTTCTTTTAACTGTTTTATTTCCAACATGGTTTTAAAAAAAAAATGAACAAGCACTGAGATAGGATCAGTTTTAGGGCTGCACAAGCTTAGGTTTTATGTCAGATAACCAACCTTTCAAAAGCCTGACAAGCCTTTCCAGATTTGTCAAAACCAGAAAGAATGAAAAACTCTTAAATGTATCAAACTTATTTTGATCAAATAAAAAGAAATATACCAGTGAAACAATAAAAATCTGGTTTAACTGTATGATTTGGAACATTGAAAGTGGCTGTTTTATTTAGACTTTTGCAGAAATAAATAAAATCATCTAGTATGAGCTCAGATCTCCCAAATGAAGGAAATCGGGGCCAGTAAATTTGTGCACCCCTACTTTTTATCTGCTGTTTGCAGAGCAGTAAGTGTCTCTTCATCGCCATGTTTCTGGCTGTGCAGTGTGCACCCTGCCCTACTCCTAAAAATGCCAAATAACCTACCTGGACGACAATCAAGAACGACTCTCTGCACTTGCATCGTTTTTTGTTTTATTTTTGTATCGCGTTTGCTCAGTTAAGCAGATCTGGCAACCATGGTCCAGGGTCAGAGGCAGGTCAGAAGGTGAGCGTCACGCTGCGAATAAAAAACATTACAAAAACAAAACAAGCTGTTGATGCAGAAAAAGCACACAGTGTAAAGTGACTAGAGGAAGCGAAACGGTGAGAAAACTAAGCGCAGTTATTCACCGGGAAGAAATTAAGACCAAGCGGAGAAGGAGAACTTTTGTTTTTGGAGGAAGATCGGTGATTATAACCGGATCATAGGTCAAAACCGCGGCCATATTGTGAGTGGCATTTTTTTTAGCGCGGACAACACTAAACTAAAGCTAAATTAAATATAAATTAGTTATTAGAATTAAGACAAACCAGTTTAACTGTTGTATAATTACTAAATGTAAATATGACCTATTCAATAAGTTAAAATACTAAACATTTTCTCTCACTATTATGAGATTGAAGTCATAAAATTCTGAGAATGAAGTCGCAATGAGAATAAAATAATAAAATTATGAAATTAAAGTTGTAACATTATGAGAATAAAGTCTTAACATTACGTAATATTATGAATTTATTCTTATAATATTACCTCTTTATTCACGTAATTTTACGACTTTATTCTCGTTGCGACTTAAATCTCTAGCCTGGCCCTAATACGCCCTCGTATTACATAGTTGAACTATGTAACATACGTATTATTGTATGAAAAAAATATTTGCTACAATAATTAATTTCTTAGGTTCCAATCATTTTTTCCGACTCAAACCTGCCACTCACAATATGGCGGATTCGGCTGTCATTTGTTTCCAAGGTGCAGCCTTAAACGAAATAATCCTTTAGGATTATTTGAGTTCCCCTCGTCATCGTGTGTTTACACGTGATAAAATCAAAATGAAAATTTATCAATCTTGTAAAAAAAAATTTGATTTGTTAATCACTCTGAGTAAGCCCCGCCCAAAGGGGCTTGGTTTGCAAAAGCCTCACTGGTTGACGAATGAAGCGTACCAACTGTTGGGCAACTTGGTCGTTTAGAGCGAAGCAAAGATGTGTCCCTGCTGACAGCTTCCGGTTTTGTTAAAAACAAATCCCCAAACACTCTTCGTTTTAGACTTGCCATCTTAGACTTATTAGGAATTATTTAAGAAGGAGAGACAGCTAAACAACATAAAAGGAACGTTATTTAAAAATATATATTACAAGAAAATGTGATTAAATTGGTTTCAAAGTGTAACGTTATGGGACAGAAGCAGTGTACTATCTTGTTGCTGGTCCGCCTTGCTGCACAGTTGAGCCGTTAAGGAAACGGTGAAGCAAATAGAAACGGTATGCGCAGGCATAATGAGGTCACCCCGTTGGCTTTCATCAACGCTGCAGCTTCTGAGCACATGAAGACATCATTTCACTGACACGCGTTGTTAATATCGGTCACTTTTAAATGAAAAGTCAGAACGGGCATGGCGTCCCGCGTTGAGGGCTAACAGAAAGCTAAATTGGGTCAGAGTGGGGCTGGGATGTGACGCCTTGTGGAAGCATCTGCAGGAAGGCAACCTCAGAAAAAAGCGAGATGAAGGCATGAATGCCACGGAGGGACCACATGATAAAGTAAGTGTGCATGGTAGCTTGATATAGATGCGGTTTTATAGGAATCATGTGCTGGTTATGTTGGGTGTTATCGGCTTAGCTGATATGAAATCCCCTCTGACAGCCTCGGACACAAGTCAGAATCCCCCCAGTGTCCCCATCATGCCTTCACAACTGGAGTCTGACTAAATAATACATCCATTAGTCCCTTATCTGAACAAAAGCAGCTAAATGCAAATAATATTGTTCCTGATTGAATATTGTTTGCAGGTTAGAAAAATGAAAGATTCACTTCAGGATTTTTGGCATCATATATTGACAAAAAAGCTGCAAAAGTTATTATTATTATTATTATTATTATTTTTTTTGCCAGCATATGTATTCAAGTATCTTGTAATATATCTGTATTTGAAGACATCTAACTGCTCCAACCCACCACTGTTCTCACAGCACTAGTGTCATCAGATTTTTCTTTCTTTTGTTTTTACTCTTTGCTCATTTTGCAATTTATGAGCTAAAAAAAAGGAGATGTATGAAAAAAAATTGCAGTTTGCTGTTTTTCTGCTTCATCATTTCCACTGATAAAATTGATTCACTGTCAGCAGTTAGTTTTTTATGAATTGTATGTTTTTTGTGTGTGTTGGTGATATGGCTCCCCACCCAGGGCAGCTTAGCGTCATGGGGTGACACACACTTCCTTCCCAAAAATAGGATAATTCTAGATACCTACTGCTTATTTGCTTATGCACTCTAAAATATGAAAGGTAATGTTTTAAATTGTTACTATAGAAACGGGAATGTTTGATCATTTCTGCTCGACAATCGGCCTAGATTAGTCAAACTTTTTTTCACAGAACACAAAATATTGTTATACGAACGTGAAACTGATTTAATTTTAATAAAAAAAACATGTATTTTTACAGGTTTTTTTTAGCATCATAGCTCAGTTGGATTAAGATAAGCATGAAAAATATAGTATTTCAGCTTATTAAACCTTAACAATTATTTAAAAGTGAGAACAGCTCATTAAAAATACAGCTTCTGTTTTTTAATTCTATTTTTAAACCAAAAATGGGGATTCCTTGCAGAGGAATCGCTTATAGGTTTCATAAATCAAATTGCTATTTGCTGTCCAGCAATCAGCTATTTGTAATATGTCATAAATTTCCGATGTATAATTACTTTGTGTGGAAAGGTTTCCTTGAAAAAGGCAGTTTCCCTCAGAGATGGTCACAGATACTCATTATGTCACTTGTTTCCTTTCAGTTTATCAGGTTTCAGTGATCATTTTTTTATTTCTTTTTTTGCTTTTTTGTTTTGGGTTAGTGTTATATTTTTATTGATTTTTTTAGAGTTTTTTTTTTATTATTAATTTATTTATAGAGCTACCGGTAAGATAACAATAGTCTGTTGAATTTTACTTTTTAAAATTCACTCCCAGCAGTCATCTCCAAGGATACAGATTCATGTTATTTTTCTGACCATTTTGGGTTTTAATTTCGTTAAACCATCTTTGTCCATGTGTGTAACCTGAATAAGAGGCTTCAAATATCATTATATCATTCACTGCATTTATAAATCTCTGTTCTATTTCAGAAAAAAAAAAAAAAATCCATTACCTTTTATCATTTTTCATTCAAATTAGTACATTTTTATGATTTTAGGGATGCACGATATTGGGATTTTGGCCGATATCCGATATGCCGATATTTTAAAACTCCGATAACCGATATCGATACCGATGTTAAAGCTGGACAAAAATAAGTAGTCATTGAAAATAGCAGTTTTGTTATCCATTTCTGACACTTTGAAAAATAATATACTCAAATATATTTTCATATGCTGATATCAAATTGATTTTTAAAAACGTGGTATGGATCTATTTTACTTTCAAAATTTCTTCGTCCTGTTACAAACTCTCGTGATATTTTGCAAATTCTTGTGAGATTTTGTTAGTAAAATAGATCGATACCGCGTCAATATATCAACATATAGAAATATGGCAACATTTCGTGAATTTTCAGGGGATTTCGTAGCATAACGATGACATATAGCAATATTTCATTAGTAAAAGAGATTGATATGGTGTTTTTAAATGGCAATATATCAGCATATGAAGATATTGCGATATTTTAATGTATCAATATTTTTTCCCTTGTCTTTAGAAGTTTTTAAGTCTGTAAAAAATACGTTTTTGAGGAAGAAGTAGCAGTAGTATTTTTATTTTTTTTTTTTAGACTTTAGAAACTCAGAAGCTGATCAAATATCGGGTTAAATATCGGTGGGGTGGCCGATGTCCGATATTCAGTTTTAAGGCCGATACCGATAGGGGGCCGATTATATCGTGCATCCCTAATTTTTTACGATATTTCTGAAATTGGTTCTTGCTGTGTATATATATTTATAATCTACATCTGACACCCAGTGCAATAACTGTGTATGTATATATAATAATAGGTCCCATGCACCTATTTCTTCCTTTGGCACATTCTTCTTCTCCTTTGCCTATTTGAGCAGATGCAACGAGGAAAATTCTCCAATGTGAGATCAATCAAATCAATCAGTCAATCAATCAATATGCGGACACACTGTTTATACCCAATGACCCATTTTCCTCTTTTTGGCGCCTTCTTTTGACTATCGAGCCGATGTGAGCAGTGAATATTTCCCCTATGAGATCAATAAAGTCTATCTTATCTTATCTTATCTCTTATTTAGAATGATGTAATGTAGAGTCTTAAAAAATCCAAACCTATAACATTACCCTATTGGGTAGTGTTATAGATGAACAATTGCCCTTAATATCTTCATCTGGCATATTTACACATGAGCTTTTGCTCATGCTAACTAATATGCATTGCCCCGTTTTAAATAACCATATAAATATTTATTAGGTCACCTTTCTGTTTTCAGCTGCAATTGTCCCAATTCTTTGGGGATTCCCCTTGCATAGCAGCAGTTTGAAATGATTTCTAAATGCCTGAGCTGTGGTTTAATAATTCATAGAACTTCTGTGAAATTACTAAGAACAAACAAGTTGTGCTCTTATGGAATTTTGTTCTATGTCTTCTTTTTAAACCAAAAGGTCTAAAAACACTTCCTCTAAAGTTTTCCCCCACACAGACACCCAGACCAGAAGTGCAAATACTGATGCTGTCATCCAGTTTTTTCTGTCCTGTTAATAACATTTAAATAGGGTTCATTAGACAGATAAAACATGTACAAACTGCAGCCCAGTACTATAGTTATTCTGGTGTATGCAGAGAATACAATGAGGGGCTGTTTCCAGCAATCTTTCTGTTGGACAAATGGCTGCTGTTTGTTCTGCCTCTTTGCAGTCTTTGACTTCAGCATCTTTGAGATAAATAATAATAAACCACCTCACAATCAGAGGTATAAACTTCTGATTCTTTATTTTTGTGCTCAAATTAAAATAACAATCAGTACAGATATGGATTTCTAACATTTAAAGAGGCACTACTCAGGTTTTTCTTTAAAGCCAGACCTGCTGATTCAGGTTTAACCAATTCTGATTGTTTTAATTTTCTTCTGAAAAAGTAGAGCTTCTACAAACAGAAACTGCACGCTGCTGTTGTTTCATAGAGGTAGATTTTTTTTTTTGCAGCAAATAAAAACAGAAGAAATTACTGGATTTATGTTGATTCTGTTCAGGAGAGGAAAAAGTGTGGAGAAATACATGCTGTCAGTTGATGCGTTCATAGACTGAAAATAGTTTGATGCATTTGATGAATTTGAGAGAAAAAATATGCAGAGTGTTAATTACTTATTAATAAACTGGCATAAGCCTGATTGATGTTTAGTTAATTTTGAATTCTACACAGTATCCATCTGGAAAGGCTCCTGTGGAAGGTGTCCACAGGAAGGAGGGACATTCAGTACATTCTTCAAGCTGATTGGGTAAATCAACAAGTGACACCTGCCTCCCACGTTGTGCTTTTAGCCAATCACAGCAGCAGTAGCAGCTGTGAGGTCACATTCTTGGTTTGTTTCACAATCAGCAGCATTAACTGATAAATCACATTCAGTCGGGAGGAACGCAGAAACCTTTCCATTCATAAAGCCACAAATCACATCACTTAGCTTGTTTTTCAAAAAGAGGAATAGAGGCTGTTTCATCTAAAAGAGGTGCAGCCATGTTTGTTTTCTTTCAGCCTGCCGCTTTAGGCTGGTGTCTAACATGTCGCTGCATTTCATTGCTACAAAACATTTCTGTACGGCTAATGCATAGATGTATTTTCGGGAGTTTGTGAATTTATACATTTTGCAGCAAGGTAAACTTCTGGGTGTAAATTGGCCGATTATATTAGCAATCTGGGGTTAGATCAATGCGTTTATCATATTTAGGCCTTTTTTTTTTTTAGAAAAATCACTTTGGTCCTTTTACAGAGTTTAGTATATAGATTTGTGTTTAAATAAATATAGATGGAGGGTTATTTAGTGATATTACACTGATCCATGCAAACTCCTGTTCCATCTAATTTCACTTTAAAGGTAAAACTTCTTGCCTGATCATCTTCCTTAAAACTACCAGTTTAACATTATAAATGTTGAATGTAATTTCTTTTATTTTTCCTTTTGAAAGGTGAACCAAAACATGGAAATCTAAATAAGTAATTTTTTCTTAAACTAAGTGCATTTGTTCATGAATTGAGGAGGTAAGTGAGACACTTTGGAACAAAACAAAACAATTTACCTTTAAAATAAGAAAAAGCAACCGCATTGTCTTATTTCAAGTGCATATTATCTAATCTTATTTTAAGAGTAAAAATACTTGTTTAATTGGCAAATCATCCCATTTACCTACTAAAATGAAGGGTAAATACACTTGATTTAAGACATTTTTACTTATTTCTAGACCATTTTTGCAATGTGAGGAAAAAGAAGTGAAATCATGCTGAAAATATTAGGAGTAGCCGTAATATAAACAGTATTGTGTTCATCCTCCCACATCCCCGTGGGAGGCTTTTTCCTCCCATGTTTGCTGTGGATCAGCAGCACCACGCAGGCATTCCAAGAAGTTTTTCAGGAGTGAAAAAAAAGGGGAAAGTTATTGAAAGGAAAGATGAATTCCGGTGAAGCTGTGTGTGTGTGTGTGGTCTTGTTTTACCTACAATGTGAGGGAAGTATTTTGTGAAATATCAACTGGTTCCTATATGGTAAAGTTCTGTTCTTTGAGTTGGGGTTAGGTTTAGGACTAATGTGTGAATTCAGTTTAGGTTAGGATTAGGATTAAGGGTCTGGGTTAGGCCATATATTATGAATGCAAGTCAATGAAATGTCCCCATATGTCATGAAAACAAGCTGTGTATGTGTGTTTGTGTGTGTGGGTGCGTGGGTGTGTGTGTGTGTGTTTTCCCCCCTTCATCCCCTGCGTGTCGGAATTTCCCGCATGGACTGAGAGGGATCTTGCTCCGTAAATTACAAGCGCTTTGCGTGTCAGAGGAAAAGCCTTATATGGGCAGGGGAAGAAATGGGCGGAGCCAGGGAAGCTGGCTGCACGGGAGGGGAGGAGGCAATCACAAGACAGCCAGAGAAGAAGACAGTCAATGCGCTGCTGCAGGCCGCATCTTTTTGTTGTTGTTGTTGTTTTGGTTTGTGCAATAATAATGCGGCCGCATCGCGCTTCTGTTGATGCGCGTTAATACGTTTGTATCTACGCTGCACCCTCCCTTCCCTTCCCTCCCCTCCCCATCCTCGCTTATTTTCTTCGTCTTAGCTGGGGGTGCCTGAGGGGGGAAGAAATGCGTGAGGTCAGCGGAGTAGTATGAGTCAACCCCGGGGATGTGTGCAGTCATCATCGCCGGCCTGCCGCCGCTGGCCGCCCGGCCGGGAGCCGCTGTTCCTCCGGTAAGTACGGAGGCCGTGGAGCCCATCGCCGCTGCTCCTGTCATGCTGGAGGCTGCGGGCTGATGTTACCGTGACCGCAGCTCGCTGACAAAGTTTTGTTTACGTCGGGCTGCGCGGCTCGCTTCGTAAAGCTAAAGAAGAAAAAAGGGTTTGTTTTCTGACAGCGCGCGCGCGGCGGAGACGTGACGCGTTAACGTGCTGACAGTCTGAATCCATCAGATCTCTGCTTTCAAGCTGCCGCGCTTCTTTAGTGACATTTCTGGATAATCCGTTTTCTGCAACAAAGGGCTTGTGGTAAATAGCGCTGGGCTTCCTGGACTCTGGATGGATGTGATCTCCTCACAGGCCGCACTGCTAGCTTTAAATGAACAAATTGCGATGGATTAGGGCGCTTGACATTTATTTTAAGCCAATTTGCTGGGTTGTGCGCTTAAACCCCTCAGCTTGTGTAAGGGCTGCACTTGTGATGCGTCATGGTGATCCTTCACCTTGCTTAATAACCAGGCTGTCCCTGTAATCAGCAGGTTAAACTGGAATAAATGGAGCTATTCATGCGCACCTTTTCTATCACAGGGTTTGACAGCATGTTGGTGGCATCACATGCTGCTGCTGCTGCTGCACACATGCTGTTTGTTGGCCACACAGCGTGGTCTTTAGCTTCCCCCCCTTTAACTCACAAGCCAGTGCAGGATCTGAACAGCTGCAGATGTCTATTTTAAGACATTTCTCCAGGCCACCAGAGTAAAGGGTGACTATTGTCAGCCGCTTCTTAAGTTATAGGTTTTTTTTGTTTGTTAAAAGATTTCATAATGAATTTGTGCATGGGTATATCAGATTAAGCAGACGATTACTGTAAATCAGAGAAAAATCTGCATGCTTTTTGCCTTTAGATCCTTGATTGGATGATTATGAACATCATTTTTTTTTCCACTTTGCACAGATGGAACAATTAAAATTCAACACCCTGGCAAAATCTGCCCTAAAACCTGGCAGTTATGCAATATACTATAAACCCGGGGTTGCCACGGTAATCGTCGTTCTGTTAAGTTACCAATGGCTGCAAGGACGCTTTGACTTTTTCCCCTCCTCACGGTCTTTGCAGAGACCGCCACGCTGTGACTCATGTTTGCTCACTTTCTGCTGCCCTCCCTATTCAAGACGGCTGCTGAGGTTCAAAGGGCATAGGGTTTTTTTTCGCACCTCTGAGTCACAGCATGGTTTAAAAAAAAGAGAGAGTTTTTTTTTTTATCAAGTTCAATTGTAGTTTGGCGGGAAAATAAGCTCTTTGTTTCTGTTGCATTTCAAGATAACTGTTGATAAGGGATGCAGCGCTCCAAGATGGTGAACATTGTAGAGAAAAAGGCCCAGATGGAGCAATTCATTAACAGTGACTAGAAATGTAATTGCAAGTAATTAATGCAGAAACACGGTGCATTGATTACTCGTAATGACATTTTTACTTACTATTAATTAAGCTTTCTTCTGTCCTTTATCTCCACAGTTCCACGTTGCCTCTATTTGCTTGCAGCGTCTTCCAGCAAGTCTTTTTGACTTTCCATTTTTGTCGAGTTGCAACCACAAACCTCAGTGTGTTTCTTGGGGATTTTTTATTTTTATTTTTTACACTAGCACCAGGTAATGTGGCACGGCAAAGAGACATGGTTTGCAACAGTATTTCTAAAAGGAATCTGAACAACAGTGGAAGGGATCAATAATGGGTTCCTCCTGGGTCGATACTTAAAAAAAAAGAATCCCCAGTGATAAGTGGTTGTATTCTAGCAGCTTGGATAGTTAAACTTAAGTGGCTGAGATAGCGAAGGTCACAGGGAATGAACGATGGGAAGTTTGCCTAACATTAGAACACATCCTTTAAAACATCCCTGCTTTTAGGAATGGTGTCGCAGTTTCATATTTTGCTGATGTTGTATCGCATCAATCGAAATAATTCAATAGACCTTTGAACATTCAGTCAGGACCTTCTGAAAAGAGAACCCCCACTTATATGTAAAGTCTTTTAAAGGCTCAAACTTGTTTGTTTTTGTTTTTTTTTCACTCTATTGATCTTCTGTTCACACCCAAGCTGGAAAATGCATCCCCACAGCATGATACTGCCACCAAGTCTCACCATTTGGATGGGATGGCCTCTGGGCTCCTTCCATAAAGACCAAATTATGTAGACAAATTATTTATATCTAAATTTAAAGGTTGTCATGTTGACCTACTGTGCCAATCTGAGCTGTGGTTGTCTGCAGCTCTTCCTGATTGAAATACTTTGGATAGTTTTTGATTCCTTAACCTGTGTGGATGGATCTTGGTCTAATTCATAAACTGTTGTTCACACAAGAGGACATTATGGACTAATCATTTCTCTAGGATTTCAGAGCTTTAGGTCCTTAGAGGATAAATACATGCTCAGATTTCTGTTAATAGCATGATAATGTGGGCCAGGGTGTAACCTGCCCCTCCACTGAGCCGTTCTCCTATGATCTCTCCCTATGAAAGGAGGCTTTTTGCTGAAAAAGCAAACATCAGGTTTTCAACAGCTGATGCTAATGAGACCCCTCCTTTTGGGCCCCATTCTCTCTGATTGTTTAACTGATGACCTCTTTCTCATTTTCTCTATGCAGGGTGTTACCCATGAATGAGAAAAACACACAAAGCTCTACAGATCTTTTAACCCCCCACAACTGGAGCCCTCTGAGAAGCTTGTGAAGAACTTCAGAGAAAAACGGAGGGAAATCTTGTTCTTACGCTGATATCCGTTTCAGCTTCATTTACCTGTGAATACTACAGAAGCTTCAGCAGAGTGTTGCTTTTTTAGAGACAAAGGACATAGGGCTGGGTTGGTGTATTCCGCTCTTTTGGCCCATTCATGCCCGTCATGAGCGTACCTGCCCAACAGAAAGCCAGCGCCAAAAGAACGGGCAAACGGATCACATTTTTTGGCGATCACGGCGGAGACTCAATGAAGGAGACTTCACAGCATCCTGACGGGGCTTACTTTGTCCCGAGCGGCCCTGCCTCAGAGTCTGGACAAAGCGAGGCGGCGAGTACTGTGAGCTCCAATCCAGAAGGTCCTCACATGTACCTCAACTCTGTGATCTTCAGCCCAGATAAGGGGGACCAGAGCAGGGGTCACTATCAGCAGACTGTGCCAATGAAATGGGCTAACCCAGAGCCCAGCCAACAACAGCAGCAACAGCAGAGAGCTGCGTCTTGGACCACAATGCCTAACTGGGGGCCAGCCTTTGCAAACTACACAAGGACCCAGAATGCATTTGTCAAACCGATGCACGACCCTGCCGGCTTACAGCCGCATCAGCAGCCGGTGAACAGAGCAGCGGATGCAGCAAAGTCTCGAGCGCTTGAGTGGGAGCAGCAGCAGCAGCAGGCTTCCCAAATCTTTCAGGAGACGCTGAAACCCGGAGTGCTGAACGCTCACCAGCAGGGCTCCTCCCACCCTGGAGGAAGCTCGGTCTTGCAGTCCTTCCAGTTAGCCTTTGGTCAGCCCAAACAGCACCTGCCCGCTTATTACCAGACCTTCCAAGGGAACAGGAACACACTACCTAACCCGCCTAACTACTCGGCACCTAATTCTAAATCCTCGCTACACTTGCAGCAGCTGCAGAGCCAAGAACAAATGCAACGACAGCAGCAGCATCATGTCATCCAGCAGCAGATCCAGCAGCATCACCAGATCATACGACATCCACACGTGCAGCAGCAGTTACACCACGAGCAGCAGCAACAAAAGATGCAACAGCTCCAGATTCAGCAACAAATGCAACATCAGCAGTTGCAACAACAAAACCCCCATGTGCTAGACTATTTCTCTGGTGCACAAAATGCGCACCCTCATCCACAGCCTGTGGTGGTACACTCCCAGGAATCCACCGCTCCAGCTCCCCCTAAGATCCAGGAACCAGTGATCCAAGACATCACGCCAGAACCCCAGCAGCCGTCCGATCCTCTGCAGCCCCCCCTGCTCCCCGAGCCCCCGTCGCAGTTACAGTCTCAGACACAGCTCAACTCCCAGGGGCAGCTCCGCAGGTCCCGGCGGCTGTCCAAGGAGGGCGGGGCGCCGTCTGACAACCCTTTTCTCTGCGGGTCCTCGGATCAGGCAGGACCCGAAAACGGGGCCCGTGACGTTCAGGCAGCACCCACGGGGGTCATCCAGAGCACACGCAGGAAGCGCCGGGTGTCCCAGGAGGTCAACCTGGAGATGCTCGCCCAAGAGGCGTCAGAGAGGAAGTCTCCTTCGCTCAGTAAGGTAGAAACCTTTCTTTTAACCCAACATTTTGCACATTCATCTCCCCCTCCGTTGTTTTCCGTTAAAACACAGAGAGATACATCTTTACCAGAAATGACTAAATGCTCTAAATATCTTGTACTGTTTCACAGTTTAAAGCTTAGTTCTTTACTAGGAGCTGGAACCTTCTTCTCTGCAAGAGCTAAAAAATCTATCCTTCCAGCACCATCCAAGGATATAATTGCACTGGAAACTTAATTCCCACAGCAGGAGCGTAAAACAGAGCAAACGGCCAAATCTCACTGTGTGTGATTACTGGGTTTCTGGATGAGCCGTCGGGTGTAAATCAGCTGCTCAGCTCAGCCTCATGCAAAGAGCTATTATATGCATTCTTTACGGTCAGCTTTGGGTGCAGCGTTTCAGGCCTTTATTTAAACTAAAAAAGAGGTTGAACAGCAACAACCCGAATGCATGAGCTCATAAACTTATCTCTGTTTGTGTGCTGAAAGTGTCGGTTGTGCAACAAGTCCTGTTGCCAAACTGCAGGGTATGTTTGTAGTGCAGCACAGTCGGCCATGCCCTGAATTCACCTCATGAGTAGCTGATCATGCAGCATGTGTGTTTGGTTACATGCCTGCACACCTCCCCCTGTTTAAAAAGAGAGAGAGAAACTCCAGCTTGGGGCCCCCCTCCCCCTCATGCCTGTGTGCTGGGTGGGGGTTCAGGGTTGCCTCGCCTGCACTGCTCAGCAGAATGTCTCTCTACCTCTCTGTTGTAGGGGTGGCTGGAGTTTTCCACCAGTAATAATAAGCAGTGACCCAGCGTAGCTACGGCAGCCCGTTTCCCTGACGATGCAGCGAACATCTGCCTTTCCCATGTCCTGATGCAGCGGTTTTAGCTCTGGGTTCGAGGTCCGGAGCAGACTGCGGCTTTGAAGCACAGCTGCTGGTGCTCAGTCATTGTGGTTTCTCAAAGTAAAACATTTGATCTAAGCGTGGGGTGGAGGGGGGCAATTCTGACAGGTCTTTTAAGTGAAACTCTTCTATTTAAAATCAAGGTGCAGACGAGCAAAGCAATGCAGGAAGTCGGCGCAGCAGAACATCTGTAGAAGCACTTAAAGGAAAATTCCGGTTTTTAACACTTTTAGCCCATTTTCTGTAGTGTCCAGGATGAAATCGAATGATCGACACCAAAATTTAAAAATTGGTCCTGTCTCTGCTTTTTGGCTCAT